CTCCGTCTCCGCGCTCCAGTCCGACGAACCCCACTAGATAGCACCGCCTTCCAGCGCCTCCCCTATGCACCCTAGGGGGGATGGGGTGGCAGTCAGGGCTGGGAAGAGCCTGGGGCCACTAGCTGTGATTCAGGGCAGCTGGATTAGTGCCCGGAGACAAGATTTCCAGGGACCCAGGGGTGGGAACATGTCCCTAAGAGACGGGAGTTGGACCCTCCCGGGAAACCAGATACTCCCGGAGCCGGGCCCAGCCTCTGGTGCAAGGAGGCAGCTACCTAAAGGAAGCGGACAGACCCTGGCATCCAACCTTGCTTCAGTTACCCATCCATCCATCCATCCATCCATCCATCCATCCATCCATCCACTCATCCATCCATCCATTCACTCATCCATCCACCACTCATCCATCCATCCATCCATCCATCCATCCATCCATCCATCCATCCATCCATCCAACAACTATGGAGGGTCTTGCTATGTTCCTTGCCCTATGCTAGATGCTAGGGGAAAGGTACAGCAATTCCTGCCCTCTGGGGTTCACAGACCAGTAGAAGAAAAAGGCAATGAACAAGCAGACAGATGAGTATATAATTACAGGCCCTGGAAAGTGCTATGAACACAAAGGATTGAGCAAGACAATAGTGATGTGTCTTGGGGCCATGGCCTCTCAGCAGATGTGACTTTTGAGACTAAAGGATGAGAAAGAGCCACCCATAGGCAGAGCAAGTGGTGAGTACGTAATGTTCCAGAAAGAAGGAAGAGCAGGTGTAAAGGCCCTAAGGTAGGGCTGTAATAGCACAATAGAAAAAAATAACCAAACCCTGGGTGGTTCCAGTGTAGTGAGCAGTGGGCTGGAGGCTAGGCCAGATCACTGAGCCTTCTTGGCCTAGTGAGAAGCTTGGATTTTACCCTAAGAGCCATGGGAGGCCATCAAAGAGCTTTAAGTGAGAATGTGAAGCATCTGTTTTATGTTTTGAAAAGATCTCTCCAGCCCTGGCCAGTGTGGTTCAGTTGGTTGAGTGTCCTCCCAGGCACAGAGAGGTTCCTGGGTTCGATTCCTGGTCAAGGGCACATGCCCTGGTTTGGGGCTCAATCCCCAGTAGAGGGTGTGCAGGAGACAGAGGATCCATGTTTCTCTCTCTTTTTCCCTCTCCCTTCCTATCTCTCTAAAATCAATAAAAACATATTACAAAACAAACAAATGAAAACATCCCTCTGGCTGCTACGTGGAGAATGGATCTGAGGATGTAAGAGTGGAGGCAGAGAGACCTGAAAGGCACTTCACTTGCTGAGTGGATAAGTCATTTCAAGTTATGAGCCTCAGTTTCCTCATCCTAATAATGGCACTAGTCCCTAACCAGCTGGGTGGATACATGAAGCAATGTACACCAGGCACCCCATAGGTGCTGTTCACCCAAAGTTATTTTCATTTTTTTCAACCTTGGGCAAGACTGAGAGAGACCTTCTTCTATCCCATAGTTCCCTCCCCTGGGTGCTATCAGCCTTAAACCTAGGCTTCTAAACATCCTAAAGGTCCTGGGTGTTTGTAAACAGTAAATAAATAACCTGATACCTTGACTTTAATACATTGCTGTACTCACAATGTGTTTTTTAAAAGTTCATTCATTCACCTGCCATCCTGCATGAATGCAGTTGCTTAAAGTGGGGCGTGGGCAACAGTTGATATTCCTTGCCTACTGTGGCCACCCCAGCAGACCCACTGCCCCCCAGGCCTGATGCTAGCTGCCCGGCCCAGCTGTGGTGCATGATTCCCCCATAAAGGATACTAGCCCCCCACTGTCTTGCAGGAAAGACAAATGAAAATTTTTTATTTTATTTTATTTTTAAAAGTTCATTCAATAAATGTTTTTTGAGCACCTGCTACTGTGTACTAGGAGTATAACAGCTTTAAAAGTCTGTGGGACAATATTAAAAATTAACTTATATTTTCCTATTTAAAATCGGTAAACCAATGCTAACATGATAAAAATCTAAGCTCCTGCCAAGCAGGCATGGCTCAGCGGTTGAGCATCGGACCTAGGATCCAAGAGATTGAAGTTCTATTCCTGGTCAGGGCACATGCCCAGGTTTCGGGCTTGAACCCCAGTGGGGAGCGTGCAAGAGGCAGCAGATCAATGACTCATCAATGATGTTTCTCTCTCTCTCTCCCTCTCCCTTCCTTTCTCTGAAATCAATAAAGACATATATTTTTTAAAAAATCTAAGCTCCTTGACCTGGCAGTCAAAGCCCTTCATAATCCACACACTCTTCTTTTATATAAATAAGAAACCTCATACATATATAGATATTTAGGTGGTTACTTTTGGGAAAAGCTCCTGAAGGTGGGAATGAGACTGGTTGGGAGAATATTTTGTTTGAAATTTTTACTACATATATATATATTTAAATCAATACATATACTTTAAATAAAAAGGAGACAGTAGTGGAGAAGGGAACTTTTCCTCACTATTCCTTGTTTCTTTATTATTTTTACCATGAACACATAATTCATTTTAAATTTTTATTTAAAAAAGAAGGTTGTCTTTTGGAAGCCTCTTTCAGTTGATTGTGCTTGCATTTAATGCTCAGCATCAGCACCACAGAGTCTGTAAATAAAACTGGAATTCATTGGACAAACAGATGTTAAACACCTACTCTGGGTACAGAACACTCTTTGGCACTAGAGGTTTCAAAAGAACTGCAGGAAAGGGTTTGGAACTTATATTTATTGATACTGACTATATTACCAGGCACTTTACATACACTTCCCGATTGAAGTGTTCCCATAACTTTAAAAGACAGACTCACTCTCTCCATTTTAAAGATGAGGAAACTGGGGCCGAGAAAGGTGATACTGCCTGCTTAAGGTTATAAATAAATAAATGGAAGAATCAAGAGTCTATGTAACTAAAAAAACTCCTTTCCATTGCTCCACATGTCACCGGTAGTCATTTCCCTCCTCAAAAACCAAACTTACGAGGTAATTTCAATTGATATTTCCAGGTACTCTTCCTTAAATCTGTTTTCTCCAATTAGATATGAGAAGCCAGGAGATGAAGGTGGTAGCAGAGATGGATCTACTTAAGACTTTTTATTTCACCGATTATTAAGTTATTCATTTATTCAACAAAAACATTTACTGAGTACCCTACTGTGAAAGTACTGGGCAATAATACCACTGATTTTACTGATAAGTAAGAGCAACAGCAGGACACTGGGAAAAGGTTAGTTTGGGACCAGAATAAACAAGTCTTTTGGGAGAAAGATGAGTTTAATTTTAGCTATTCTGAATTTGTGAGACACCAGCAGGAGTTGTCTGGAAGCAGCTGACCTAGTAGGCATCTGATTTTTATCTGCTTAGACACCATTCCCCATTCCATTTTCTTTTAGAGAATACTATTTCCCCTCTTGTGCCTCTTTCCCTCATTGCTGACTAGAGTAAGTACATGACATAGGCCTAGCCCATCAGAACAGGCACCACTGTACAGTGATTGGTCCAGGGACAGGCATGTGACCATTGCCATGCCAATCATATTCAAACTTTGTTCTTTTGCTGGAGCTATTAGGGAAGAGGAAGGCTTTCTTTTTATCTAGGACTACTAAGGTAGTAAGATTTGCTGTTGTTGCTGGGGGCAATTTGCCCCAACAAGGTGGGAGGCTTTCTGAAGATGAAGTCTGTGAAAAGGAAAGCAAAGCAAGAGGTGGAGTAAAGCCCATTCTTTTTTAGGCACCTTGATGCAACTATGCCAGAAGCCCCATGCCCCTGAACTCTTCAGTTATGCTACCCAATAAAGTTCTCTTTTTAGATGTAGCTCAGTTTTGGCTGACTTTATGACAGAAGAGCCCTGACTAGAGTTGACTTGGCAGGTCTAGAGCTCAGGAGAGAGATCTTGGCTGGAGACTGAGGTCTTCTCTGGCTTGCTTACTCCTCAAAGGGGAGAATCACTAAAGATTGTTGAACCAGGGAGTGACATGATCAGAAGTGCAGGGTGGTAGATGGACTGGGGTTGTGCAGGAGGTGGGTAGAAGCAGGAGGCAGGAAGACTAGCTAGAAGCCTATGGGTAACACAGATAAGAGAGAATGGTGGCTTAGTCTACAATGATGACAGGGATGGTGTGATGGAATTTGAAAGATACTTAGGAGGGGGACAGAGAGCATCTGATCACCATTTTGGAAGTGAGAGGAAGAGGGAGGATGATGGATAGCTCCTGGGCTTTTACCTTGGAGACGGGGTGAAAGGCAAGTATCATTAATTGAGAATGACATTGGGAGAAGAGCAGGTGTATGGGGAAGAGATGATGAGTTCAGTGTAGAACATGCTGAAGGTGAGGTACTGGCAGGACATCTAGAGGCAGATGCCTGCGACAGAGAGGAACACATGGGCCTGGAGCTCAGAAGAGAGGAAAGACAGTATTACTCCAAACTTAGAGTGGTTATCACCTAGCTCTGTTTTCCGTAGGGTTTGCTGTGGGGTGCCTGACACTTGGTTCTAGGGCATGGCAGGCTAGAGGCTAGGTGGGCACAATCACACTTCTGGATGAGAGGACCTCAATCTCCAGCCAAGATCTCTCTCCACTAGGTGGCACTACCAGGTTGAGAGCATAGGAGGCCATGTTAGCCAGCCGGCTGGTCCAGCTGGGCCAGAGGAGGCTTGGGGCCTGGAAGCAGTGCTGGGAGACATGGCATTCAAATGACTACACAGGTATGATGGCAAGGTCCTTGGAACCTTAGTGCACAGCCTTGGCATTAGGTGCAGGTTCCCAGAAACTCAAGTGACTGGGGTATCGGCTAGATTTTTGTACAGATTAGGGCAGTCTGTATTAACTCGCCATGGTACTCCCTGAGTTTTGAGAACTCCCTCTGCTGCCATTCTTTCATCCTACGATCTTCTTTCTCATTCATTTATTCATTCAAAAATTTTTATTGAGCACTTATCGCTGTGCTGAATGGCAAACAAAACAGTCATGATCCCACCCTCATAGGGTTTATAGACATGGAGTAATTATATGATCACACAAATAAACAACACAGGTTTTGATAAATGCATTTATATGGAACCAGGAGAAAACATATCAGAGGTTCCCAGTCTCTAGGTTGGGAGAGATATGCATTCCCAGTTGAGCTGGAAGAGGAAGCTGAGGAAGCTAAAGAAGCTAAGGGTAGGTGTGCCCATTGTCACACAATGAGTCAGGGCAACACTGGGACCAGAATTGTCACTCCTCATCCCTGAATAATGGACCTGGTTCAGCTGGTCTCTACCAGGCCACATCTTCCCACTCCTCTCCCTGCTACCCCCTGAGTCCAGGGCTACTCCCTCTGGAAAAAAAGTTTTGATCTGCAACTTTGACTTTTGATGCCCATAAAGCTCCCTATTGTCACTTCACACACCTTCCAGGTGGGGTAAAAAAAATCTAGTCAGGTTGGCAGGGGCTGGTTGGTGGTCAAGGCCAGACAACCAGAAACTTGTGGAAGGGGAAAGAATTTGGGGCTGTCAGACTGGGAGTCACTACAGAAGGGCCAGGCCAGAGAGGGCTGAGCCAGAGGAGCAGGATCTGCCAGGCTGGTAAGGGAAAGGACTCAAGTGCCGGCACTGGGAGGAAGAGAGAGTGAACCAGAAGGATGCTCTAATGCCAGGAAGTGACGTTGAGGGAAAGAGGGATGGGGGTGGAGGATGAGGAGTGAAGGGGAGAACAGAGCTGGGGCACATGGACAGCAGCCGGAGCACCAGGGAAGAAATTATCAGAGGGCTTTTGGCCCTAGGGTCTCCCCCAGGCCCGGTCTCCTCTCTCCCTACTCCCCCCCCCTCCCTGCAGCCTCAGCAGAGCGCTGAAAAGAACACAGTAAAATTCTGGAGCCTGCTTCCAGGGTACCTTACTAACATCCCGGCCTGACCCATGGCTCTGGTAGGGGGTGAGGTAATGCACGGGGCAGCAAAGGCCCTCTGGTCCCCAAGGACTTTGAGAGGTCATTCGGTCCATCCCCCCTGTCTCCCAATACCCAGCACAGACAGACGGACAGAACAATGCCCTCTTTTCCCCTCCCTGGACATGCAGAGACTCTCAGCTTCTCCCCCGTGGTCTCTCCTTCCCACGGTCCCTGACTGTGGGGAAGTTCTTCTCAAGACCTAGCCTCCATTCACCCTACTGCAGTCTCTGACTCGGGTTCTTCCACCCGGTTCTCCGAGGCGAGAGAGAAAAGCCTCTTCTGGGCAATCACAGCCGTCCCTCAGGACCTTCCCTCCCACATCCCTCCCTTATCAGTTGGTTCTTCCCCAGAGGTAACCCCATCTCTCCCGCTGCAGTCCCTGGCATCCCTCTCCCTTGTCGCATCCTCGGACTCCGAGGCAGAAACGCAGTACCAGCCCCGTCACACAACGAACGGAAACAAGGGCGGGGAGAAAGGTCTAGGAGGAAGGGAATGAATTAGGGAGACGGAGGCTGAGGTGATGCTCAGCGCAGACGGAGGACCAGGGGCGCCCCAGGGGGCAGGAACGGGGCCAGCGGGTCTCACCGGTGTCGGGGTCTCCCAAGAAGGCGTCCTCGTCCTTGCGGCCCCTCAGCGGGGCGGCGGGCGCCGGCTCGTCCTCCGGCAGCCGCGGGAAGCTGGTGATGCTCATGTAGTCCACGGGCGAGTAGGCGCCCAGGGCGCTCTCCTGGCTGACCGGGTTCTCCGCCGCCATCCTCGCCCGCGCCCCCCGCAGCGCAGCG